ATCAAATATGTTTAAACAGTTGGTTACATCGGTGTCTGACATATACGTAAAGTGTCGTGTATTTTTTTCAATTAGTATGTATCGTTCTATTGTATTTAATAAGTATATGTAGTCGCTAGTTAGTTGCGGTATCGGTACCATTTGATATAAAATGTAAATTTCTTCTTCTAAAATAGGAAATCTTATTTCGAAACAAAGTTTATATGATGATAACACAAATACATTGATTGATGCTGACTTGAGAAATCTATATGCATACTCATCTGTGATTGGAAATATCATTCTATTGGAACCGTACTTTTGTTCAATTGTTTTCAGTATTTGTGTTAACTGTCGCGGTTCGACTAGTAAGGGATCGATTTTTCCTTGTTCTCCGTTTACAACAATATTACGCAAATTACTGATTAATTCGTTGTGTTCTGATATAATTTCATTTAGTTGTAACAAGGATTCCAAGACTATCTCGCGTTTGTTTAGTCTATATAAATTATCATTAGTTGTATTCGTTAATTGTTCTACATAGTTATTAATCTTACTATCAAACGCATTCATATTCTTTAGCATACTTCTAACAATAGTAGTTTCATTAGCAATTAGTGTATTAATTCGTTTATTATTCGCATATAATTTGTCGATTTCGTTATTATAATACTCTGCGTCTTTACTGCTAAGTGTACCGAATAAAATGTTTGCTACCTCACCGATGGGGTTTAACCATCCGCGCTTAATCCTATTATGTTCATTATAATTAGTTTTTCTATATCCTAAGCTACTTAATAATATATGTTTATATCCAACCCCCCTTTGAAACCTTTCTTTCATATGTTCCAGGGTGAAGTGTGTCACTTTGTTACCTGACTCTAGAAATGAGTGTCTCAAGGCTTCTTTTATTTGGAGTTCTATTGTTTTAACATCCCTGAGGTCGATGTACAGGATTGTCTTCCATTGCTTGTGGTATAATCTCGTGGTGCCCATAGGATCAAAGTGGATGTTGGGTAAATTCGTTAACTGGGTGACAGTTAGTCGGTCTTCGTCCGTTAGGCCTGGTTGCCAGAGGAGGGCGATGGCGAATCTAGAATAGAAGACATGTTGGCGTATTTTAATCTATTTAAGTGTACCAGTTTGTCCTTTCCATTTACTATAACGATTGCATTAACGTCTCCTTGTAATTCTTTAATTTGGTAGGGCCCTAGATATGGTTTTACTAATGCTCCCAGACGATCTCTTCCTTGATTCTTAATCCAAACCCAATCTCCTGGTTCCAATAGTAGGGGTTTTATATTCTTGTCGTACTGTTTTTTTACCTTCTCCTTACCATGGATTATTGCATCCGAAGCTCTGAGATGCATTCGTTGAAGATTT